TTGCTTAGCTGCTCCGTACGTACCAAGAGGAACTCAAAAATTAGACTAGACTAACAGTTGAAAATTCAACGCAGGGATCATCATAGGGGGGCTACAAAAAACGATTATTGTACACTTGAACTCCATACATGTCCCACTTGGGCGCTCCAGACTGCAAAAGCCGCGCGCTCTGGTGGGTCAATCGTGGAAATTCGTTGAAGCCGATATTATTGACGAAGTAGGTAATACCTTTAATTAATATTGTACTTGAAGAGGACAGAAGTAATCAGCTTCGATCCATAGAAGCAGAATTTTGTCACCTCTAGACACTTACTATGGTCTGAATCTCTCTGTGAAGTGGTGGTTCTTGAAGCCGTGCGATCTGAATCCACAGGATAGATTATTGTGATGTGCCTACAGTGGAGCTCACTGGTGCTCATGAACAGCAATAAACTCTAGAACATAATCATTATATTACCTTAAACGCGGTACTGCCACGAGGGAAGAGGTTACTCTCACTACAGGAAAGGTAGATATCCCTTGAATAACACTAAGCCAAATCCTTGGTTCTACAACCGAAGTCCTCTCAAATAAACTACTCCCTTACGACAGACTATCGCCAGTCTTTTCTCCCGCACCATTTTCTGGGATATTATTGAAGGGGTCAAGCCCTTGACAATCCTTCCTTAACGCAAGGACTGACACAGGCCTCTCTCTTTTGCTCTCTTCCTGTTCTTTTTGTTGTGGCTTTTCTGTTTACGGTAGTAATCCATGTCAAACGTCGTTTTATCCGAGTCCTAGATACAGAAACACACTCTATAACTCCGTGGAGGCCATATACCAGTAGGCCATCAATGCAACAAGGGGCGCTGGTCCAATACAAACAGTCCTGCTGTAGTGATAAAGGTGAACAAGAGGGGGCATTTCAAGAAGGCCATGCACTAGGCCGCAGCGGCGGTGTTGACTCGCGATCTGGATGGCTCCTGCCCTGACCGTGCTGGTTCAATGGGCTCTTGAGGTAGCAGCTCGATTTGACGGACTAAGAAACTCTTCTCGTCCGTGAACTGGTCGTCATCTGTGCGATCCATTAGGAATTTAGGCAAGAATTTCAACAAACGGTCCCGATTGTTGATGAGAATCCGTTGCACCGCGACCGATTTGTTAGGATTTGCGACGAATACCTAAGCCACATTCCTCATCAGCAATTCACGGATTCGCCGCCTATCGTTCGTGCCAGAGAAATAGGGGATCGTACCTTGAAAACGTGGAACCCCTCGTACTGAATCATTTTACGATCATCTTTCAGCAATTGCATGCAGAGTTTCAGATTTTCCCCGCTTTCAACATATGCCATCATCACGCTGTAATTTGCGCGGTCCAACAGAATCTCACCGAGAAGCTTTATGCTCTGGCGCTTGGTAACATAGGAGCTCGATTGGATGAGTGCATTGAAACGGGAAAAGAAGAGATCAAAGTTGGTAGTGAGGTAGGAGGTCACAAGACTCTTGTGACGAGTGAGAATGTCCTATTCCATGGTTACTCCATATGACTACTACAATCATAACAGGCGTTGCTTACCCTAAATGTTGTAAAAGAATCGGCGCTCACTTCGAAGCTGCTCTTGTCGATCCAATGGAAAAATCTCCAAAAGATGCCATTGCCTTTCTGGGGGATATCAGGGTTGACCTGCGTCAATCTGATCGCGGGTTGACCCTCGGTAGACTGATCATATAGGATGATGGCCGCACACACGTCGAATTTGAGTGCTTCTCTCAGGATGGCGCCGCAGGGCATTGTGCTCTCGGGTGATTCGTATCCCCGACAGAGCTCAACAATGATCTCGGGGCGATTGTGTACAATATAAGAAATGACTGGTGGGTCGCCATTGGTGGCCTGGGCGGGTCGAAAACGAAGGATCTGAGAGAATATGGTTTGCGTATCTTTTCTGGCTTGAAAGGGGAGATGACGGAGGCTGCGGGCAAGTTCGTATAGCAGATCTTCGTGGACGGTGGCTTGTACCAGGGCATGTACTTGCTCCGGAGTCGTCTCAGTTTCTAAAACAGACTGCAGTCAGCATAATGACCTTAATCTTTCATAGAATGCGCCCATGCGACAGGACAATGGTGCACGCTCATTACACTAACCTTGAGTGCCTTGGACGATCACTTTCATTTGCGCAAGTTGCTTCGCCAGGTCATCTTCGACCTGTATGGAGCTGTCAGCAAGCTGCAGATTCGTACAATGTATGGCAAAAACAAGCAGAGGGGACCTGTGAGACTGACCTTTGCAGCTGTCGGGGCTTCTCCTAGTCTTAACAATAGCTCCTTAATTGTTCGGACGACGTCAGAAGGCGGCCGTTGTCGATTCCGCCAGAGGAAAGCCATTTCCGTTGATATAAATAATGTAATATGTATTGGACAGGAAAGTTTGATGTAGAGTAAACAAAGAGAGGATGGGAGACAATGAGCTGTTCAATACATGTGAAAGATGCAGGGCAAGCAATTGGTCCCTAGCAGAAGAAGGGTAACATGCACACTTGCTCTGTCTCGACTGAAGGAAGCGCCGAGGCGGTGAGCTGTACAAGGAGAAAAGAGATGGAGATGGAGAAGGAGAAGGTGGTGGTTGATGACGATGATGCGGATGATAATGAGGTTCTTCTCAGCTCCGACTTGTTATCTGCCCTATCGGTCTGAGGGGGGATTGAGCTGTTGTCAGGCGGAGAGCCGATAAACAAAGTACCCAGCCAGCATTGGGCGGGGCAACCAGCGGGTTCTGTTGTGATAACTCAATTTTTTTCCTCTTTTTTCTTACCAATTTTAGTCCCCTCAATTGCTTGAACCCCTCCATCCTCATATTTGCATGGTCCATTAGTCGCCACAATTCTGTTCAAATACTCAAGAATTCTAAGAATTAGGAGTGCAGAAATTTGAATTGAGTCAATGTCTGCCACAGTTCCCTCAGACCGTCCCATAAGGGACCAAGATGCCCTCTCGACAACCTCTTCAGACGATTCGGACATCAGCAACGAAGAGGGATGGGAGGATGTTGAGCCTGATGACGAGACACAGCCGGTAATTGGCCTGTTTTCCGATAAGGTCTACTCCGATGTACACTCGATGCTCCAGGAGTCTAAAGATAAGCATGGCTTTGACTTGCGGAAGATTCGAAAGGATCTTGGTGTGTAATATCGATCGTTGGGCGCTTTGTTCTCGTTATTGTTCTGATGCTCCTAATATGGGCATAATCATGGTTTGCGAGAAATCCTAGCTAACTGTTACGTTCCACATCAGGCTTGGATTTCCTCGGTACTATCAAATTAGTCAATTATGTCCGGTCTCAAGTCAAAGCTGGGAACACGACCCCAGATGTCTCTTCGAAAGATAAGTTTGAGGACGAGGCTTACTTGAAGCCGGTCCTTGAAGACGATGCCCTTTTGTATAGCTTGGACGATATCGACGACGAAGAATCCGCGACAGTCGGTGCCACTGAGGCAGAGCGCCGCGTGATCGAGCTGCAGGAGGACCTTGAGCGCCTCCAGAGCCAGTTCACTGAATATAGAATGGCCGTGCAAAAGTCAATGGAAGAACAGTTGTCGAAGGAAGATGAGAAACTGGGACCGTCGTCCAGCGGCCCGTCCGGCAAGAAGATGAGCAAGATTGAGGAGGCAGACTCAGATTACTTCGTTTCTTACTCGTACAATGGTCAGTTCTCCACTGCCCTGTCGAGCTGAATATGCTTTTTGCCTAACTGTTATATTTTTGAAGCCATCCACGAGTCCATGCTCAAGGACACTGTCCGTACTGACTCGTATCGCGATTTCATTTACGACAACAAGCATCTCTTCAAGGACAAGGTCGTGTTAGATGTCGGATGTGGAACTGGCATTCTCTCCATGTTCTGCGCGAAAGCAGGTGCCAAGAAGGTCATCTCAGTCGACAATTCCAATATCATTGACAGAGCCAAGGAGATCATCTACTCCAACGGCTTCGGCGATGTGATCACGTACGTATTTCTGCTTTCCGTCAGATATCCAGGAATCTAACGTTAGATCAGATGCATCCGTGGCAAGATTGAAGAAGTCACTCTCCCTGTTCCCCAGGTCGACATCATCGTCTCCGAATGGATGGGCTACTGCCTTCTATTCGAGGCCATGTTCGATTCGGTCATTTACGCCAGAGACCGGTATCTCGCTCCAGGAGGACTGATGGTACCCTCGGACGCCACCTTACGTATTGCGCCGTTTGCCGATTCCGAGTTGATCTCGTCGCACATCTCATTCTGGGACGATGTGTACGGCTTCCAGATGGGCAGCATGCGCAAGAACATCTACGATGACGCGCTTGTTCGTAGCGTACAGCCTGCGACAATTCCTGGTGATTCCGATGTCTTCCTAGAACTGCCGTTGCACACCATCACCGTGGAGGAGCTCTCGTTCCTGAAGGAGTTCCAGGTTACACTGAAGGAAGATATCGAAGCCCTTGACGGTTTCGCTATCTGGTTTGATATTTTCTTCATGCCCTCTAGGGATTCTACTATCCCGAAGAACGCCGTTCCTTCAGAAATGCAGAAAAAGGGTTTCGTCGCCTTCACTACAGGCCCTGATGGACCGGAGACGCATTGGCAACAGGGTGTTCTCCTGATTGATCGTGAGAGAAAGAAGAGAGTCGCCCTAAAGAAGGGTCAGACCATCACCGGCAAGGTTGGTTATCAGAAGAGAGAAGAAGGGTCGCGCTCGCTGGACATCACCATCGAGTGGGACACGCAAGCGGGTGAGAAGGGGGCCCAAAAATGGGCGCTCCAATGAGTTATGACGCTTAATCAAAAGTTTTGTCTATTATTATAATTCATTTTCATACTTGATTGGTACCAACATACCGCTCAAAATAGGGAGACGCTCAATTTCGAAAACAAATGCAGAATCTCATGAACCAACCATAGTTGGCTCTGCCATCCGTAGCTATGGTAGGGGTCAAACGTCGTAAATAATTCACATCAAGATCAGGCTTCCATAAAGAGAGGTGTCACGCTTGGCGTTTGTGCGGCTGCGCCTCGCGAACGTCCCCTCGGTCGTGGTCATGGCGATTACGATGACGGCGCGAATGGGACTGGGAGTGGGAATGGGAGTGACCGTGTCGCTTGCGAGAACGATCGCGAGAAAGATCACGATTTCTTTCGCGGTGATGCGAGCGATGTCGGTGTGAGCTCCTCGATTTCTTGTCCTGACGTTTGTCAGGTGCGTCAAGGCTGAAGTTTTCAAGACTATCCCCAGAGTCCGACCCTTTTGATCTTGACGTTGATCTTCTTCTGCGATGACGTGACCCTCGTCTTTGTGCCTCTTTCAGTGCATCCAATTCTCTCTTTCTCTCCTGGTTCCACTTCTTCCGTCCAAGTTCGACTGACTTCAGCTGGCGAACTCCCCTCTTTATCGCCGCAAGTGGATCGCTGGCATCCAGCCGGGCTCTCTCCCTCTCCTGTCTCATCGGATCCTCATTGCCCCAAACATCCTTTTCAGGCATAGCATCAGGCGCTAAAACATCACGCCTGGAGGAAGAGTACCAAGGCATTTGGCCAGCGGACTGTCGATACCCCGCCGCATTTGAGAAGCGCATCGTGTATTGGTCCTCATAACTCCGGTTCTTGTCAGCTGCCTCCTTCTCCGCCTCTTGATTTTTTTCTGCTGGTTTTCGCGTTGTCTCGGAAGGAAATAGATTGATATGCCCTGTACTGTCTAAAAGCGGCGCATCGCTGGTCTTGGACACAGCAAGCTCCTCCCTTTTCGCCAGCATCAACTGAGCATCTTCCCTCGCGAGTCTGATATCGCGATCCGTATCATTTTCACCTGCCAGTCGCCTCCGTTTTCTATATCTTCCAGCATCCTCTCCATGGGTCTTGTCTCGTCGGGTATCTGATGGAGCAGACGGCGGGGGTGGTGGGGTAGAGGGCCGTTCGCCACGGAGAATCTGAATCCTGCGCTCAGCATCGACTTCTTGCATACGACGTTCCTCTTCCTCCTCCCGAGCCTTGGCCTCAGCCTCGTCACGCCGTACACGGGCAATGTTCTCGGGATTGTAGACGTTCCATGACTTCTTGCCGAGTAGGTGACTGCTCAATGCATCAGTATGAACAGTAGAATTGCATAAGAACAAATTCAATGCACTTACAGAGGCATGATGTATTGAAGTACTCTGTGAGCAGCTGGTCACGTAGCATCAACCCAAATCAAGTGCCTGGACACAACGGAAGAGTCGACGAGTTACCGGAGATCTCCCAAGGCGATAAGGGTGGATCATCACTACCTAGCTTAAGCCACATCAATCGGCCAAAACGGAGCTTCACGGGCCGATGTGGCTAATTATGGCAGTCCCAGCAAGTGATTAAGTATGCCTCAGGTATCCACTTAGGTACTCCAGACAGGTAGTTCTCCAACTTCCTAAGGTAGATACCCCCGCCACATTATACACACGTCTCCGAAGTAACCTCTTCTCCATAAATTGATCAAGTCTCACGCTTTTTTCCCCGACTAGTCTTTTCAATACACATATAACGTCCGCTTTCTAACAACACTCATACATTCTTTCTCACATAAACAGGCTATCTTGACGATCGCCGCAAGCTTCAGTCAGCTACTCCTGTTCCTATACCACACTTGCGTCTCATCGTCCACCGCGCCTCTCTACAACAGGCTCGCGACCATTGCCTAATCGAATCGTTCTCGAATGTCCCACCTTTAGTAGAACCAACATGTTCAATCGCAACAACTATCCATCTGTGCCGAATCCCTTTTCAGGTCGCCCCTCCTCCCGAGGCAATGCGAGTCCTGGTCAAGGTCCCCCACTTCCGCGAAGAGATGGGTATGACACTGGCCATTCGCCGATGAGTGGCGCAGGGTATGAACAATCGCCGCATCAGTTTGACCACGATGTCCATATGACTGATGCGTATAATCATTCAAGAGGTTATGGAACTCCGCCACCCAGGCCAGGTTACTCGCAGACACCTCCAAGAAACCCAGTAGGAGGCAGGGCGCCCGGTGCGTCAGCGCAGGTATGGACGCTACGACCTGCGAAGAGCCCTGACAACTCGTATACGTTTGGAAACCTGTAAGTTTTGTGCATGTGAAGTTGGGTTCTAGAATTACAAGCTAACAGCAAGCAGTGTTGCCGTCTCAACGCAGGACTTTCCGCCTTCGCGCGACGGACTTGACCTTTTACTCCTTGTGAACGATCTCTATGTCTTTTCTGCTCGTCCTCTCGATGGTTTCCCTCCTGGACATATCAGCATGTCGGATCCCCAGCGGACATGGGCGGGCGTTGCGTTCACGGATTCAGTCAAGGCCCAGATATACGATCCGTTTAGTCAGGGCGGACAAGCCTATCTCGGGTCAACAGATATTGAAGTTGGCTTTGCTGGAAAAAAGAGGGTCGAGACTCCGTACGATCAAGATGAGTTAGCGAACGCCATGATCAAGGTAGATACTAGTTTGGATCGACGAGTTTTGCACAGTTCTAACTCTCTTTAGAATTTTGAGAACMAGATATTCTCTCCGGGTCAGAAGATTTTGATGGATCATAAGAGCATACCGCTACTCCTGACTGTCAAGACCGTTCAGCGGGTCGATCTTACATCGGAGAAAGCTGGAACTGCTGCTGGAAGCACTGAGACGGACCCCACGGCGAGAGGAATCTTGACAAGGCACACCCAGATTACTTTCTTCAAGGATGCGCGCACAGGCATCAACTTGAAGCCATCGAATCGTCGCCCCGCAGCAAACTCTATTATCACACCCGACTTCAAGTTCGAAGATATGGGAATTGGAGGACTTGACGCAGAGTTCAGCACAATCTTCCGTCGTGCGTTTGCATCGCGTATCTTCCCTCCTGGGTTGGTCGAAAAGCTTGGTATCCAACACGTGAAGGGTATTCTGCTTTACGGCCCCCCCGGAACGGGTAAGACCTTGATCGCACGGCAGATTGGAAAGATGCTAAACGCGAGGGAGCCCAAGGTCATCAACGGTCCTGAAGTGTTGAACAAGTTTGTCGGTCAGTCGGAGGAGAACATTCGAAAGCTGTTTGCGGATGCAGAAAAGGAATATAAAGAAAAAGGCGAGGAGAGTGGGCTTCATATCATTATCTTCGACGAGCTGGATGCTGTGTGTAAGCAACGTGGCAGCGGAGCAGGTGGTGGCACAGGCGTTGGGGACAGTGTGGTCAACCAGCTGCTGTCGAAACTGGACGGTGTTGACCAGCTGAACAATATCCTCCTGATCGGTATGACTAACAGAAAGGACATGATCGACGAAGCTTTGTTGCGGCCGGGTCGTCTTGAAGTGCACATGGAGATTTCTCTTCCAGATGAGAATGGACGGGCTCAGATTCTGAAGATCCACACCCAGAAGATGAGGGAGAACAATGTCATGGATCCAGACGTTGATCTGGCTGAGCTCGCCCTCCTTACTAAAAACTTTTCCGGCGCTGAAATTGCTGGCCTTGTCAAGTCTGCATCTTCGTTTGCTTTTACCCGGCATGTCAAGGTCGGTACCATGGCCGGCATCAGTGAGGATGTCGTAAACATGAAGGTCAACAGAGCCGATTTCCACCATGCGCTGGAGGAAGTTCAACCTGCTTTTGGTGTGTCAGAGGAAGAGCTCTCGAGCCGTATCCAACACGGCATCATCCATTACTCCCCTACAATTAACGAAATCCTGAAAGAAGGAGAGCTTTTCGTGAAGCAAGTCAGCAATGCTGAATCCTCGCCCCTCTTTTCCGTTCTGTTGCATGGTCCCACCGCCAGCGGGAAGACTGCTCTAGCCGCTCGAATTGCGATTGATTCCGGTTTCCCCTTCATCAAGCTGATTAGCCCTGAGGATATGGTCGGCTTTAGTGAAATGGCCAGAGTCCAGTACATCACCAAGATTTTCGATGACGCTTACAAGAGTCGCACGAGTGTCGTTGTCGTTGACAATATCGAGAGAATCATCGACTGGGTCCCTATCGGTCCTCGTTTCAGCAACACTATCCTTCAGACCTTGATGGTTGTCCTGAGAAAACAGCCTACCAAAGGCCGACGGCTGCTGATCCTTGCCACCACAACGGAGCGCGCTGTGCTCAAACAGTTGGACATCTATAACTCGTTCAACTCGGATATCATGGTTCCCAACGTGATGACGTACGATGAGCTGCGTTATATCATGGAGCAGTCTGGAGCATTTGATGCCTCCGAGATCGAGCAGGTTTTGGCAGAAGTTGGTGGCATCACCGAAGATAGAACTATCGGCGTTGGCGTTAAGAAAGTGCTTTTGGGTATTGAAACGGCGAAGCAGGACCCTGACAAGGTGGGCCGTTTTGTCCGCGTCATCAACCGGGCGATTGAGGAAGAGCGAACTTTCCTATAGACCTTTGCTTTCTGATGCGTTGGCTGTTATATATCGAGCATAATCACTTCTATACATAGTAAAGATTGTCGTGGCCCTGGGAGGCGACCTGTACGGAATGATATATCTTTCAAGGAGCCTCACCTAATTGTGCAAATGGTGATGCTGACAACTAAGGTAAATATGCTGGACGACATAGTCAGTTCACTTCAGCCGGAAGATCAATGCACCTACTAAGGGAGATCCGGTCACTAAGGGTACTCCATAATTGAGGGCAGTAGCATCCCTGGCTTCTTCATCTCAACATTCACAGATGTTTCCCGTTTCTTCCATCCTTTCATCACGTAGAACGTCCACTGGTCGAGCTGAAACCCCAGAAGAAAGCCTTAATTGATGACCTGAGGATTAAAGTCTGCGCTCTTCAAGCGGCATAGCACTAACAAACTACAGTATTCTACTGTCTATAGTACATGAGCCATTGGGGCCCAATATTATAAAACGCTTTCCAGATCAGAATATAGATCCACATCAAATACTTCGGGAACAACAGCCTGAACTTGAGCTGCGAACATAGTACATGATATAATTAATTATTCAATCCGGGCACATGACGTTCAACAATATCTTCGAAGGATCTTCCATGTTCGTGACTATGTCGTAAGAGCCATAGTGGTCTTCCTGTTTCAGGTTTCTTGATTCAGGGGTAATCACATTATCACCATCCACATATATCGACTAGTCGCATCACATTCTACTAGTCCAGTTGACTATTGATTCCAGAAGTTAATTAAGGCTCTCATGCTCTCTCTTGCATGGTGTTCTCAATTCTTTCTGATTCTGGAGGTAAACTCCTCATATGTCTACTCCAGGTCAAGTGACACGCCCAGAGATCTGACCCGGTTTCCTCTGCTGGATACATCGCTCTTCCTTCGCGACTACAAGGTGATTCTCAGAGCTATGACTGACGCGTACAGGAAGCCATGGACTACGCTTCTACGTGGATGAAAACCGCGCGTTTCCCATCTAGACCCTAGGAAGACTGAGAACTTGACTGCGGGCGTCTCAAGAACAAGCTCTAGAACTTCATCGGGCACCAATCGCTGCCTACAACCAAGGAGCGAATCAATGATTACTGTCTCTACGCGTCCGATGAGCTCCTCCAAACGCGTCCGATGTGTAGTTTGATGCCCAAAGTGTCCTAGTGTGCCTTTGGGCTGCACCTTGCTCTCGGACTCGTCCTCCCGCAAAAGCGGCAAGGAGAACGATCCGAAAAAGGAGGGCGGAGCGGAGAAAAGGCGGTGCGAAGACGTCCGCTGGGCGGAAGTGAAAGTGGAGGCGGCGGAATAGAGGGTGTCGTTCGCCCCGGTGCATCCTCTGATCTTTATCCATGCGGAATGCCAGGAAGGAGACCTTGATTGATCTGTGGCTGTGGACAGTCATGTCTTCTGCCTTTTTGCCTGGATCTTAAAACCGCACGGCGTCTGGAATGTGGACCAGCGCGCAACAACCCTGTGGGCACCGAAAAGCCGGATCGTAAAGCCTGTCCCTTCCTTCCGGCGAGGTCTGTCATCTCTGGAGTGAAACGGCTGAAGCTTGCACCTGTCATCTTCTGTTGGCTATTGTGCTTTCGATTATTCGTCAATTCGGAACCTGAGCATTCCCAGTCACTGCGGTTGCCGTCAGAAATCTCCAGCATCCGCCGGCGGATCAAGGTATCAAGGGGCAGATGAAACTGTCAGCGCACAATGACAAGTTCGTTCATGTGATAAACCTTGAATGTACAACAGAGTGGTCAAGCC